GGCTAGGATGAAAGCTGAGTATCCCAAATGGTTTGACAAGTTGCAAACGGATGAGTCGGATTCGAGGACGAATCCAGAACGGGTGGGGGAGAGTTGTAGCATCCGTATCCGAGAAAATGTGGAATGATCGTACCGGACAGGGTGTTGTCCGAGGAATGACCGAGCCAAGGGTCGGATACTGGCTGGGAAATGGAGGTTTGGACTATGGTCGGGTGATGACCGAGGAAATAGTCGGGTATGGGCTGGATAGCCGAGCCGGATGGACCATATCCGAGGGAATTGGGGTCCAGTCCGAGGAAAATTGGGATTATCCTAAGGGAAATAGGATTTATCCGAGAGTCTGGGAGGTTAGTCCGAGTGTCTATGGACTGTCTCCGAGGGGGAATAGGAAACCTCCGAGAGAAATAGAGGATTAGCCGAGGTGGGACAAGTTGTCCGAGAGAGATAGGAATATTCGGGTGAAAAATGGAAAACATCTCGGATAAGAGCGGTTTATCCGAGTGGGAAGGGATTTGGGACGTGGGCCAAGTGTTTGGTCAGCTATTTTGGGGTTTATCGAAGGAATGGTCGAGCCGGTACGGGGAATAGCCGAGAGAATCGAATCGGACCGGGATAAAACTTACTGGAACCGGGAAAACGTCGGATAAGTCCGGGTTACCTAGGGTTTTGCGAGTATTTAAGGGATTTTGAGACTTTTTTCGGGAGAGTTGTGTTTATTCGAGAGCAATAAAGCAAAGAAAGAGAATAGTCGAGAGAAAACCCTAAGAAAAACAGTTTATCCCGAGGACATCCGAGAGAGATCAGGTTATCGCCGAGCAGAACCGACCATCGCCGAGATAAACTGGTAAGCGATCGGATATTTCCCTAAGTGTTGAGTTTTCATCGGATAACCTCGAGCTAATAGCCTTGTTTTGTGGGGTTTCTGAGGGAAAACAGAGTTTGGCTCGAAGAAAGGTGAACGGATCAAGAGATAGCCGAGGGGATAAGGATCGGATTGTACCGTGAGCCGAAAGATTCTTAGGGAGATCGGATATCTTCGTTTTAGTGCGGTTTTCATCGGGATTTCTTCTGACCAATCTGTTTCCAGCCTTGTCTAAGGTGAGTGCGTGACTGTGGTTGGTGTCTAGGACCGTAGGATTGCTATGGTTGAATGTTTGCATGTTGATTGTGTGATTTTCATGTTATATGTTTAGAATTGATAAGCAATTCTTGTGTTGTGATATATTGTGGTGTTTACCGTGGCATATATGATGTTTAGCTAACCTCAGAGTAATCCGGATCATGTACTAGCTTAGGGGATGTTGGATTCTCGCTGAAGTAGACATGGGTCTTAAAAAGGGATTGATCTTGGTTGGTTAGGCTAGATGATCATGGCCGTTTGATATTGTTATGTCTATTGCGAATTGATTGTGTTGAATGTTGAATCCGAAAGTATGACTGCGTGTTTGGTACTGACCAGGTGTTACAGGATGACCGTACTCACTAAGTATTTATGAAATACTTATGCCTCTCATCTTGAGTGTGCAGGTACTAAGCAGTAAAGGGGCGAGACCAGGCGGCAGTGATGGATATGGATGGATCGGGACTGGGTTTTATTTATGTTTAAGACTTGTGTTTAGAGTCTTATGGCTTTGGTGTTTGGCTATTAGGTTGCTAGATGATCGTTGTATTCATTAGCAAACCATTGTGATTTGTTTAAGTTAGCCCCGAATCTTGTTTAAGTGTTTTATGAAAGTTAAATGAATGAAATGAGTTGCTTTATATTCTGCTGTGTATTGATAAGAAAGAATAAGAATGAAGAAAAAGTTCAAAAATACGGCTAAGTATAGAATTGGACTTAGAGGATGTAGTGGGACACAGCTGCGGTACGGTTTACTGGGTTGGGTTACCACAGTTTCCATACTGATTTAGCTCATGTAAACATTTAATATATAATGTTAACGAAGAAAAATATTAAAACTATGATCAATGTCAGAAGGATGTTTCCGTCGGTGCTTTGGTATTTGTGAAAAAAATAGGATTAAACTGTTTTTAGAAGGAAAAACATACAGAGGTGTTTAAACAGTGGAAAAAATAATAGAAGAAATGCTGGTTTGGTCGCACCTAAGAAGAAATGGAACTGCTGGTTTGGTCGCACCTAAAAAGAAATGGAAACAACCCAGAGCTAATTGGTTGAAATGCAATGTTGGAAGTTTCTGGTCTATGAAAACCAATAAATGTGGTGGTGTCTGGGTCATGTGTGACAATAGGGGTAAGGTTGTGTTACATAGTCAAAGAGAGTTTAGTAATGTGCAGAGTAGGGACGAAGGCTCCTTCAAGTGCTTGTGTTAGATGCTTGATTGTTTGCAGTTCCACAAGGTCAACTGTGTGATGGTGGCTACAGAATTAGGGGATATGTTCAAAGCCATCTTGAGGCCTAAGGCTTGGCCATAAGGTAGAAGTAGAAATCAGAGTTACCAAAGAGAAGGAACATTTCTCATAACTGAAAGTGTAATTAAATGTGGGTTCTCTTAATCTTGTGTTGCATTAGGCCATCCAGCTTGGTTGTCCAATCTTTTTCATAATGAAAAAGTCTCTCTCTTCTGTTCAAAGTAGGCTTAGCGGATATTTGTTAGCATATTTTCTTTTACAGTGAGATAGTCTCTTTTCTACTCTATGTAGGCTTTGCAGATGTTTATTAACATTTTGAACTCATAAAATATTATTTTTTTGTTGCAGTTCAAGTTTTTTTTTTGTCATCCTTGAAATATTTTAACCCAACTTGGGTAAAGCAGAGGTTACAAACATCTCGGAGGCCCATAACATAAAGAACTGAAGCCCCAAAAAATTAAAGATACAAGCCAGAGACACATATATACACTACTAAGACATGTGTAATAAATGAGAATGTTCGAAGCAGCACCGCTTCCTCACTGTTCCGCCGGCGAAGCTTGAAACTTCAACATCTCCACAAGTTGTACCAGTGAACCCACTGCTTGTTCCTTTTTCAATTGATTGCCATAGGAAATTGTCCAGATCTTCAACTTAACCATCGGAGAATAATTTTAGGAATCACTAGAAGATAAGAAAACAGCGAAACACTTCTGAAGAAGCTTCGGCACTACTTACTCTGTTCAGATCTACCTAAACTAATTTCAATAACTCGATTCTTCAAACATTAAGAGAACCACTTCTCCAAGAGGACCTTAATAATTACTAGATAAGCATAAAATTACTTTCCCATAAAGAAAGAACCAAGCATAAACCGATGGTAAAGAATTGTAACAAAGTCTTTGGAATATGAAACGAGACACTTGTAAAAGGCTAGAAAAAAAAAACAAAGCAAAACAAAATTATCCGACTAAGCGGAAACCGAAAATATTAGATCACAAATAATATAAACAACACGACACTAGCGTCAGATTTACGCTGTCCATTCGCAAAACAAAAACTCAGATCTGTTTGAAGATTTGAGAGAATTAAGAAATAGAAAGTGTAGAGATAAAATAAAGGGAAGATCGGTTGCAGTTCAAGTTAATTTCGGTTCCATTTGTATTTGTTACTTCCAGGGCTACCGTATGCAATATATTCATATTAATTTTAGTATATCATTATTGATTTAATAATTATTCAGCCTAAAAATTAATTATGGACACGCCCATCTTATTGATCTTGTAGGAAATAGTTTTTTTTGTCAATAAACAACAATAAACTAGGTCAATTTTGATTAATGGTTACGGTTACCGAAGTTTCTGTTTCCATTAACCAAATCTGACTTACATGGAAAAAGATAAATCCTCGTGCTCTTGCTAATTTAGCGAGCGTGTCAGCATAGACATTTTGACTATGAGAAATAAACCGAATAATACATTCCTCAAATAAGGTCCTAAGCAAAAACAAATAATCTAACTCCGATCTAAAAGCTGGCCAATCCATGGGGTCCTCGATCATATGGATCAAACTTGAGCAATCCGTCTCGTTGCAAACTCTCGGGAACTGTCTATCCTTTAGGCATGTTATTGCCCAAAGAAACCCATCCAGTTCTGCATGTAGAGCTGACAGAATTCTTATGCATCCTTGTTGTCTGGTAGTGGTGAATCCCCTTGTGTCTGTCAAGTACCATCCAATTCCACTGACCGGTCCATGATCGATCCAAGAGGCATCAATCTGGCAAGTCGGGATAAGGGGGACCATAAGGAGCTCGCACGGGGTGTCTGGGTCGATGCCCCTCTTCTCTCTCCTCTTCTATCTCCTTTTCGTTTGCTTTTCGCCAACTTTCTGCCTCTATGGTAGCATATTGTAGCGTATCCATGGCTGATACGACTTTCTCATTGAATACCTTATCATTTCTTGCCTTCCAAATGAACCAAATAATCCATGGAAAAATATCCCTTTGGGGTGCAGGTAACCCCCTTTCCTTTATCTTCTAAAATAGAAAATCTAGGTTTCCATATAGAGATGAACACGGGAAGTAACCCGGAAGGGACGGAAATTCCAAAAGAGCCCACACCTGTAAAGCTGGGGGGCATTCAAACAACATGTGATTAATTGTTTCTTTTGGGTCTTGACATTGGGGGCAACTTGTATATGTGCCTAGGTGGCGAGAAGTAAACCTCTGACAAGTAGCCACACAACCTGTTAGAGCTTGCCACATAAAGTGTTCAAGTTTCGGAGGCGCTCGAATCTTCCAAACATGACTCAAGAGGCATGTGATGCTTGGTTCCGTCATCTCAGTCGGCTTTTGAGCAGCTTTTAAACTCTGTGATAGTTCGTATCCTGATTTGACTGTGTAAGCTCCCGATTTTGTGTGGTTCCATGCATATCCATCCAGAGTGAAGGTCTGGCTAGGTCTCATCCCAAAGATAAGGCGAATATCATCGAGATGGAATAGTTCGCAAAGAATCTGAGTGTCCCACTCTTTGGTATCTCTCCTCATGAGAACATGGACTAAGAGGTCTGGATTTCTACTGGTCACCGGAGTGATTCCTCTAGCGGGCCTCACTGGGATAACTGGGATCCAAGGTTCGCTCCAAACTCTAGTGTTACATCCCGATCCAATGGTCTTACGTAGGCCTTGGAGGAGAAGAGGTCTCGCGGCCATGATGCTACTCCACCCATACGATGGAGAGTAGGGTTTTATCTACATTTAGAGGGCTTGATAGACGGTAATATCTCCCTTGCATCATCTTAACCAAAAGGGAAGATGGATATTGAATTAAGCGCCATAGGTGCTTTGCTAGCAATGAAATGTTGAAGTCATGTAGATCTCTGAACCCAGTACTCCCTCTTCTCGAGAAACATAAATTTTTGTCCCATGCAAATTAGGGCATACCTACTGTTTTGTTTTGAACTCCACCAAAAGTTTGCAATTAGGGCATTGCGGTTGTAGTAATGATTGTACACGTTTGAAACGTTTGATGCTGATGATCTAAAGGCATTGCGGTTGTAGTTATAATTCTGTTTTCTTATCTTCCAGTGATTCCCAAAACACTTCACCTCACATTTAAACAGAGTAATAAACAGAGTAAAGTCGTAAGACAAAGAAATTAATAAATTGAGATGCGGAAAATAGTTTCCCATTTTCATTTTTCGTTACTCATTTGTTTTAAGAGTACAACGTTGAACAAAAACACACAAAATAAAAATCAAGATGGAACTAAACCAAAAGCTAATTTAAGTTTCAAGAAAAATGAAGAAAAACAAGCACAACCCTTATTCAGAACGATAATTGGTCAACTTCATCAGAAGACCAATATCTTCCACAATAACCTGACACAAACCAGAAGCAGAACCAAACCGCTGCTCTGTCCAATCTCTCCTCAGTACCTGTAGTGAGCAGGCTTGTATGGTCCTTCAATGGGAATGCTGATGTAGTCAGATTGGTCCTTTGACAACTTAGTAAGCCTTGCTCCAAGCTTGCCCAAGTGAAGTGCTGCAACCTTCTCATCCAAATGCTTAGGCAAAACGTAAACCTTCTTCTCGTACTTACCGCTCGACTTCTCGTTCCAGAGCTCGAGCTGAGCAATCACCTGGTTGGTGAAAGAGCAAGACATGACGAAACTTGGGTGACCAGTGGCACAACCCAAGTTCATGAGACGACCTTCAGCCAAAACGATGATTCCGGTCTTTGTCTCTGGGAACACCCACCTGTCTGTCTGGGGCTTGATGGTGATACGCTTCACACCTGGGTAAGTCTCGAGTCCGAGCATGTCGATCTCGTTGTCAAAGTGACCAATGTTGCACACAATGGCGTTGTTCTTCATCTTCCTCATGTGGTCAACCATAATGATGTCTTTGTTACCGGTGGTTGTGACAAAGATGTCAGCTTCTGAGACGACATCCTCAAGGGTCAGAACTTGAAGTCCTTCCATGAGAGCCTGGAGGGCACAGATGGGATCGATCTCAGTCACGATGACTCTGGCACCAGCGGTTTTCATGGCGGCCGCACAACCCTTTCCGACATCTCCGTAACCACAGATAACGGCGACCTTTCCGGCGATCATGACATCAGTGGCCCTCATGAGACCGTCAGGGAGAGAGTGACGGCAACCGTACAAGTTGTCGAACTGTAAGACAAAGAAGCATCAACTTATCAGCATTCACCAACATCGCATAGGAGTAAAAGACTATCAAAAAATGAGTGTTATAAGCAATTCTCTAAACATTAGGTTCAGCACAAACTGGATCTTACTAGCTACTAGATCGTACGACATTTACAAGAAAAACTAACGGAAATCTAAACTATTTACGTTGCTGGTTAAACAAGATCTAGAGATCCAAAAGAAGATATGAGAGACCAGATTCTGCTTAGATCTAGCATATGCATCATTTATCAGAATATGATAACAAATCTGAGATGAAAGAGATCAATACCTTGCTCTTGGTGACGGAGTCGTTAACGTTAATGGCGGGGAAGAGAAGAGCACCACTCTCCTGCATCTGGTAAAGCCTCTTGACACCAGTGGTGGTTTCCTCTGAAACACCAACGAGTCTCTCCTTCATCTTGTGGTACTTCTTAGGATCAACTTGAAGACCTTCCTTGATGATCGACAAAACGATCTGGAACTCAGGGTTATCAGTGGAAGTCGGATCAGGAACCTGACCGGTCTTCTCAAAGATCTCCTCAGCCTTAACTCCCTCATGGATCAAGAGAGTCGCGTCACCACCATCATCAACAATCAGATCTGGACCACCACCTGGACCCCAGTCAAGAGCACGCTCCGTGCACCACCAGTACTCCTGAAGCGTCTCACCCTTCCAGGCGAAAACGGCGGCGGAATCGCGAGCTATTGCGGCGGCGGCGTGGTCCTGGGTCGAGAAGATGTTGCAGGAGCACCATCTGACTTCGGCGCCGAGGGCGGTTAGGGTTTCGATGAGAACGGCGGTTTGGATGGTCATGTGGAGAGATCCGGTGATTCTAGCGCCTTTGAATGGCTGAGCAGGGCCGAATTCGGTACGGCAAGCCATGAGTCCAGGCATCTCGACCTCAGCGAGCTCAAGCTCGAGACGACCGAAATCGGCCTGAGACATGTCCTTGACCTTGTACTCACGGCCACTCGACGTCTTCTCAACGAGCAACGCCATTACTCTCTCTGGGTAGGTCTCTAGATCTGAGATTTGAAAATATGGGCAGAGAGAGAGAGATAGAGAGAAGTGTGCGAAGAAAAACTAGAGGTAGTGAGAGAGTATATATAGATGAGGTCAAAATAAAATGGACGGCTCAGATTGTTTTGAGGGTTTGGTGGATCTGGTAGAAGTCGCAATCCCGTGGTTCGCGGAGCACGGTGCACGAACAGCATGACCCGTGTTATAGGCTGTTGTGGGTTTATCGGACGGTGATCTGGGAAAGGTTCCCACGTGGCTATATCGAGTTCGTTTCAGCGAATCATAGTTATGCGAACCCTAACGGGCCTTTAACGGTAGCCCACGGATTTTTTTATTGATTCTTTGAGCGAGTATTTAAGCTTACTACGTCGTATGTTTTAGAAATCAATATTTTAACTTTTAAGTTTTTTTTTTTTTTTTTTTTTTTTTAGTCGACAGTCTCTACTCTCAAAACGGTTCAGAAATCCAAACCGGTGGAATTGAGTTTACATAATGCAATGAATGAAGATAGTCGCAGACATCTCGTGCTAGCTTGTCTGCCTTCGTGTTTTGAGCGCGTGGGATTTGCAAGATTGAAAAGGAAGTAAATTCCTTTTTGCTAGTCTCGAACTCCTCCAAATGCAAAGCAAATGCCGGCCATTCCTCGGGGTTGGACACCATTTCCACCAGTTCAGAACAATCTGTGAGAAAAGTCATCACTAGCCTTCCAGCGTCAAACATGCTATGCATCGCCCATATTAGGGCTTCTAGTTCTGTGTGTAACGGGGAGAGACTTCGTCGTACATTCTTTGCCCCCATCAACGTTTGCTCACCTGATAAACCTGGACAAAACCATCTTAACCCAGCATTATCCTTTGTCGCCTTCCATGATCCATCCGTTTGACATATGTAGGTATCATTAACCATCGTCAACGTATCTATGTTATCTAAATGTGCCCCCTGAGTAATAATGTTTTCTCCTGGAACATCATCCTGTTGTGCTAAAAACCAAACTGTCGATTCTGCTTGTGTCGTTTTTAGAATTTCCCTTGGATCTCTGTCAATGTCTGCGTATATTTTATCATTTCTGGCTTTCCAAATATACCATAGTAACCATGGATATAAATCCATCTCGACTAAGTTAGGCAGTTGCCAAAAAAGATGAGCAATATTTGTATATAATGCTGAGGTCGGGATTACCATATGTGGTGTTGGTATAACTGAGAGTGTCCACACTTGAAGTGCCGGTGGACATTCAAATAGTGTGTGGTTGATAGTTTCCTTCTCCGCCCCCACATCTAGCACATTGTGGGTCACAATTTACTCCTCGTTTGTTTAACTTGTCGAAGACCGAAATGCAATCAGATAGGAGTTGCCAGATGAAGTGTTTCATTTTAGGCGGGCATCTAATTTTCCATACATGACCTTGTAGTATAGTTATGTCTGGTCCATAGAACTTCTGTATGGATTTATTATTTCGAATCTCCTGCTGAAGGTTGTAACCCGATTTCACCGAGTATTTTCCTTTCCTTGTATAATACCATATATCTGAATCTGGTCTGTCTGCCATTGTTGTTGGAAGTCTAATAATGTATAGGATATCCTCGGGAACATTGAGTTGTTTGATTAATGGGATGTTCCATGTTTTAGTAGAAGAAACTAACAAATCTTTTACTTTTAGGTCAGGGTATAAATTATACCCCTGACATGTTGCTGATCTCGGGCGAGTAGCCGGGATCCAAGGGTCATTCCATACTGAAATAGAATTTTCGGTTCCGGCTCTTTTGATAAGCCCTTTTTTAACCAGAGATCGAGCTGAGATAATGGTCTGCCAGCCATAAGAAGCAGAATAGGACCGTATAGGATCCAAAGGCCCCCATTCCTATAATATCGTCCCTTGAACACTTTGACAAACAGTGATGCCGGGTGATCAATAAGTCTCCATAACTTTTTTGCCAATAAAGCAGTATTAAAATCCTCAATTGTCCGGAAATCTAGACCCCCGTCCAACTTGTGTTTACACAATTTGTCCCATGCCAACCAATGCATTCCTTTGGTCTGTCCATTAGTGCTCCACCAAAATTGAGCTACCATGCTTGTTAGTTTTTTCGTGATCGTTTTCGATAAACGGAAACAAGACATAGCATAAGTTGGTGTCGCTGAAGCAACTGGTTTAATCATAATCTCTTTCCCTGCCTTCGAGAGTAATCTTGAAGTCCATTCATTTATCCTTTTTTGCTGCCGTTCAACTAGATAATTGAAAATTTTCGTTTTGGCGCCCTCCAAACTCTCTGGTATCCCTAAATAACTTCCCATCCCTCCAGTGTTTGTAATACCCAACGTTTGATGCACTACCTCCTTAATGGATGAATCTACTGTGTGGCCAAATTGTACCAAAGATTTAGAGAAATTAATTTGTTGTCCTGATACTAGCTCATATTGCTTGAGAACGCTAAGGAGTACCTATATTTCCTCCTTAATAGCCTTGCAGAAGAATAGACTGTCGTCCGCAAAAAAACAGCTGTGTAATTGGTGGGCATGCACGTGCCACCTTCATGCCCGTAAGCAGTTTCATTCGTTTTGCTTTTTTCAGATTCGCTATTAAAACCTCTGTACAGAGGATAAACAAGTAAGATGATAAGGGATCTCTCTGCCTGAGACCTCGTTTGGGAACAATGTGGCCCCTCGCGTGGCCATTAATCAATACCTTATATTGCACTGATTGTATGCACCACATTATCCATGTAATCCATTTTTCGGAGAAACACATTTTTCGCAGGAGATGCTCTATGAAAGACCATTCAACACGATCATAGGCCTTGCTCATGTCCGCCTTTACCGCCATATATTTGCTTTTGCAGGATTTATTCGTGCGTAGGCCATGGAACATTTCTTGGGCAATTAATATATTATCCGATATAAGCCGCCCTGCTACAAAGGCCGACTGCGTCTCAGAAACTAGTCTGGGGAGAAGTCTACGTAGTCTCTGACAAAGTACCTTTGAGATAATCTTATAGCCAACATTACATAGACTAATTGGTCTCATTTCCGCCATTCTTGTTGGCCTTTCCACTTTCGGGATGAGACAAATATTTAGCCGCCGATCAAAAATTCCTGTTGTCAAAAAATCATTCACCATCTGTACCACCTCGCACTTTATTATTTGCCAAAATTGTTGATAGAAAAGTGCCGTCATCCCATCTGGTCTCGGAGCTTTTTCAGGATGCATCATGAAAAGAGCTGTGTGAACCTCCTCTTCAGTGGCCGGTCGTGTCAGGAATCTATTTTCTGTCTGTGAGACCTCCGCTTTTATTTCATCTAGAGCCTCCACAAAATCCTCGGGTGAGGTGGATGTGAATAGATCCTGGAAATATTCCTCTGCAACTTTTTCCAGATTCTTATCTCCGGCCACTCAAATTCCAGCATCATTATACACTCCCACCATTCTATTTATTGTTCTCTGCTGTTTTGTCATAGCATGGTAGAACTTGGAATTGAGATCCCCATTCCGATTCCATAGAAATTTCATAACGGCAATTCGGAATTCTGTCTACTATACTAGTCCTTCCTATCGTCTGTCTCCATCCATACTCAATGGAGTCCATTAACCCCTTTTGCCCAAGCCATCTCTTATCAAACCGAAATTGTTTTCGTCGTTTATACTTCTGGTCTTGGATTGTAGCTACAACTGGTCTATGATCCGAACCCACCATTCTAAGATACTCCACATAAGAGTACGGAAATAAGTCATGTCAATCTTCTGCTGCCAAGGCTCTGTCGAGGCGACAGCGGACAATGTGACCATTCCGGCGCCCACGCCATGATAGTCTATTTCCTCGGTTTGGGAAATCAATTAGTCCACAGTTATTAATCATGGTGTTAAAATCTACAAATGTAGATTGATGTCGTAACTTTCCACCTTGTTTTTCATGATTCCCGGTAATTTCATTAAAATCGCCAATTAAGAACCAAGGTTCCGATCTATTTAATCCTGTTCTTGTAATCTGTTCCCAGACTTGGTTCCTAAATTTGGTAACAGGATTTCCGTAAACAAAAGTCAGAAAAATTTGTTTTCCTTCATAAGTTGCCTCGATATCAATCATCCATTTATTAGCAAAAATAATTTTTACATCAAAATCATTTGAGTAAAGCAGTGCTAATCCTCCACTCAAACCACATGATTCAACCGTGTACAACTTATTATAACCGAAATGAAACTGAAATTGCTGTAAAAAAGAAGAACAATTTTTGGTTTCTGAAAGAAAAAGAAACTCTGGTTTAAATTTCTTCCAAACCTCCCTCAAATAACTTATTGTGATAGGGTTCCCCAAACCCTGACAATTCCAACTTAAAACCCGCATAATTATTAATTTTCTGAATCAAGGGACAGATTCTTGATTTTCTTCCCTTGTTCCATTGGCGGATCGATTCCTTGCGGCCTATAATTTTTGAGTGCCCCTTCTTCCTAGGGGAGATCAGTGTCTGGACCAGCCTCTTTTTTGTGCTAGCACCAGCGAAACCCACAATAACCCTTGGTGGTTTCTTCTTGTGTAGTCCAGTCTTTATCATCGGCTCCTTATCCATCTGATCGGCCGAGTCACCCATTTGGACCTCCGCAACATTAGTATCCCCTGTTTCAGCATTAATATCAAGTGTGTTCAAGTCAGGTTCAGTGGTTGTAACCATAGTATTACCATCTCCCCCCTCTACCGATGAGAACCATGAGTTTATGACATCGAAAGTACCTAAATTGTGCTCTTCCTCATTTTCCACTGCGTCATCCAGTAAATCATCATCTATATTCTCCATTTCTTTCCCCATTCCTTCCTGTTCCGTAGGTACGACCTTGTCCATGGCCTGGTTTACATCCATTAAAGGAAGCCCCGTGTTACTCAAGTCCTCCGCCGCAGTCATTATTTCATCATCAGAGAATAATGCTTTTCTAACCTTTTTTGTCGACGCCTTTGGACTTGGGTAATCCCGTGGACGATGGCCATTAACGTATTCTGCTAATTCCTGGCTCCCTTCGATCCCTGCAGCTCCCACTATTTTCTCTTTAATCACCCTGTTGTCCTCCGTAGTTGACTTTCTTGACGAGTGTAAGTAACGAGAGTCCACTTTTCTTATTCCCCGAGAAGATGATGATTCTCCAAAATGTCGATCACCGCGCCTGTTATCTTGTATATAAGCTCTGTATTGTGAGCCATCACG